TTCTCAGCCTTCCCTTTTGGAACCAATGGCTTATCGATCTGAAAGTAAACCTCAGAGATAAGGGGAACGCCGGCTGCGCCCCACGAAACGGAAAGTTAAAACATCTCTGGTTAAAGTCAAACTCGACGCCGCCCCTAAAGTAGTGGTGTCTTTCCCGGGATGGCGATGAGCCCTTGGCAAGGAAGTGGTGGGCGATAACGATCTCGATTCTGAGGCCTTTTTGCACAGGCCATTTAATCATTTGGATTTGTCGGGAAATGAATTAATGGGGAAATGGAATGGCCATGTTCATGAAGATATTTTTGTTATTATTGTTTTCGATAGCATAGATCCACATAATTGTTACAACCGAAATTAGTGCTTATTTCGACTTTGCTTACAACTGTTACCATCATTATTGTTCGTATTATCTGCTCATGGTCTTTTTTGACATAAACGTTTTAATGAAAATGTAGTGGAATAAAACCCTGTCCAAACACATGCATTATAATTCGTCAAAGTAATTGATTAGGAAATGAAGAAATTAAACCCAAAAATTATAACGAACATAATGTGTAAATTAATCGTTTTAAAAAGCTTAAAGTTCTACTATATTGTCAGTGCGTGTGTCATACATACGATGAATTGCACATTTTATTGTCAACTCTGCACATCGAGGTAGCAGTGGTCTTTGAATTAGATGTTGATCATTATGCATATTATCATTGTTCCAGTCATTGCTTATTGTTCTCATAATAATGCTGATGTTGATGAAGATGGTGATGTTAATGAGCACGATTTTTTTTTCTTTTGAGAGGGGGGGAGGGCATGGAAAACAATGCTATTGTAGCATTGTAATGGTAAAGACGATGGTGGTATTGACCATGGCAAATAAATGTGTCTTGTAGATAATTGGCAATCCGGAGGTAACTTTGCAATTCTAATGGGCGAAGACGTTAACAAAGTTCAGCGGACTTTTCCCCCGAAGGTCTTGTCAGTATTTAATTTGCACAATTGCTATTTTTATTGTTATTTTTTTATTTAAAAATCGATACGGCAATAATGAAGAGGTTACTAGGAACGATGACAACTACTTTCATTACTATTAATGTTATCACCATCCTCATCTGTGCCAGGATGCTGTCCCGTGTCGCATCCCAGGCTCACTTCGGCCACGGCGACGAGTAACGACGTACTGAATGTCTGCTGGAAGACATTTTTAGAGTAAGTATTATATTGCATTATATATAAACTTTACTGACATCGTTACAAACGCTCTTCCCATGTATATAAGGCAGGATTTCCCAACCAGGGTGCTCGCACCCCCTGGGGATGTGAGATGCATTTCAAGGGGTGCGAGAAGTATCCATCTTAAATACAAGCAATTTATTTATTACCCATAATCAAGGAACAGGAAGAAGAGCCATTGAACTGAATTTATGTATATGTTTTAAAGTTAGTTCTTTGATTTTATATGTAGATATTTTAAGCGTTATTTTTGTAGGGTTTTCACAAATGATCTGGGGCATTTTTTTGTCCATATGTTTGATTCTTGTTAACATACTTTTGGAAAATGAAAAAGAATATTTTCTTTTGTTGATCAAATTTATTATAAATTCATCTATATCATTAAATAAGCTATAGATTTAAAGGGTGCGGGGACACAATAAATTTTTCTTGCGGGTGCAGGCGTAACAAAGGTTGGGAACCACTGATTGGATGTCGTGTACACACACACACACACGCACACGCACACGCACACGCACACGCACACGCACACGCACACGCACACGCACACACCACACACACACCACACACACACACACGCACACACGCACACACCACACACACACACACACACACACCACACACACACACACACACACACACACACACAACACACACACACACACACACACACACACGAGCACACCCCCTCCGCTGATGCCCCCCCCCCCCCATCCCGCAGAGCAAGCTGGTGTCCCCCGAAGACGACTCCGAGGTGTCCGGGACGTGTGATCGCATCGGCAAGGTGTCCGAGGTGGTCGTGGGCTGGAAGACCTTCGTCCTCGGCCTCCGCTTCGGCCTCGACGAGATCACCGACTCGTGTATGTCTCGGTTCAGCCTGACCTACGACCTCAGCGACCCCGAGTTTCGCCTCAGCCGCCCGGGTGAGTGCCTCTCCCGCCTTTGGGCGAGATTGGCTAAGGATTGGGACTGAAATGTCTCTACAATGAATGCCTGCGTAGTATTACTCAAATGTTATTACTCAAATAAAACATATATGTATATATATATATATATATATATATATATATATATATATATATATATATATATATATTACACACACACACGCACACACACACACACAACACACACACCACACACACACACACACCACACACACACACACACACACACATATATATATATATATATATTATATATATTATATATATATATTAATATATAATTATTATATAATATATATATATATATATTATTGTGCTTGTGTTCA